TGGACTGAAATTGCCCCAGTGTGCCCCTCCTTGATATCCCGCAACCCACCACCAGGGTTCCGACACATAACACACTTTTTTCAGGAAAGTAAACCTCCAGGGGTCCTTTCCATATTTTTACAGAGACTGCATAAGGACCGTTAGAAAAGCATTACCCATTGATTATTAAGCTTGGACCAGTGGGGTCCGGTGTTCGGGCCCCACCACGTAAAACCAGTCCCCATGACGTGAGTGGAATCTCAGGTTATGGAACCCACCAGGAGTTGAAAACAAGTGCACGCGCGCACACGCACACACACACGAGGGGACACTTGAGTCTGAAGAACAGGAGTCCTGCTTACGTCTCTCTCTGTCCAAAGTGCCTCCATCACTTTGCTGTGGTTTTATTGTTAGTGACGATCTTTTCAATAATGTTAAGATTCAGTTCAGCTCAAAGGCCTAAAATAAAGTTGGTTTTGTGGTATTGGTAATTTGACTATTAAGATAATAAATGTATGTGATTTGTTTTATAATGCGATATATTATTTTGACATTTATTAAGACTCTAAAGGTTAAATCCTCTACTGCCAAATATTTTCCTAAATCTACTTAAAGGCACACCGTGTAACTCTTGGCCACTAGGGGCGCTAGACCTGTAACTTTCACGTTTAGCGCCCCTAGTGGCCACAAGCAACTCAGCACTGTCGCAAAAGTCAACAAACAGTCAGCCGGTGTCTTTTGAGTGTGTATTCAGACAGCATGCACTGGTGTGTGTGTTCAAACTGTAGAGACATGCCTACAGATATTGAGAGACTCTGCTGTGGTCAGCCTCCAGGCCGCTGCATTAGTAATCTACCACACATGGACTTCTATATCCTGGATGAGGGAGTTCTGCGTCTAGCTCGTGCTGCGTGGAATGACATCTTTGCAGTCGATGACATCCAGGAACCAGGTGAAGAGCAGCGCTCATACAGACATGCAGCTTACAGCACGATCCCTTTCGCGTTTCCTCTTTTTAGCCTCCTCCGAAGGTTTAAATTTTTTCCTTGCCTCAGCCATGACCAGGAGTCGAGCAGGTGAAAAATGAGTAGCAAAAGCCTTAGCTCCATGAGTATATCAGCGCCTGTAGCCGTAAAGCAAGTCTTTCTTCCAAGTCACGTGACCTGGTGGCAGACGGTCCGTCTGCTCGAAACTTACATGGGCGGTATTTCAAGAGGGCAGCCCCGCTCGGAGCATTGCAAGTGTCAAGCGCTGTATATTGGCCCAAGTATTCATATAAAAATAACTCATGTGTCAACTCTTTAAGTCCACGGTGTGCCTTTAAATTCACCATTGTTTATACTTTAGCTAATTAGCGCCTATCCACTACAGTCTGTGCTGTTCACTAAAAGCTGTCAAACCGAGGAGGCACGTCTGCAAGTATTATTGGATATCATATTGATTTTTCCTCTGGCAAAAGTTGGCCCGCCCACTTATCTCCAGGCCCGCCCTATTCAACATTTCTGCCTACGTCCCTGATACATATACATCCGACGTTTTCAGAATTTCTTGTTATCGTTTTCATGACCTAATTACTATTTTAATGTGACAAAAAGCGATCGCGAAAAACCCGGAAGTAACCGTTAACATTCCAGGGAGCTAGCTAGCTTAGCTGGTACCTGCCTAGGACGTCCCGATGAAACCTTTTGGAGCTAACGATTTTATTTGCAGTTATTGAATACATTTGGAATTGTAAGGGCTGTCTAATAAGTGTTCGGAAATATTTTTATTTTTTTTATTTTACAATTATATTCAAATTTCGAAGCTGAAGCCCTAGTTTTTAGCAGCGCTGTAGAGGCTAGAGGACGCAGGCTGTTTGCTGCTCGTTCTGTGAGTGGAGGAGAGCGAGCGTCCCGCTAAGACTCTACTCAGCACTTTTCACTGCTTGTATTCTTACCCAGCTGAATCAATTACCTCAAGTTTTCAATTAAATTATGGATTATAATACAACTTGCATGTAGTAATAAGCATTTTTATCAACTACTTAGAAAAAAAATCGGGTATAGCTTCTTTAACTGCAAAACTCCTGCAGTTGGACATTTTCAGGAAATCGTGGGTCAAAAATCTTGATATGAATTGTGAGTTTGGGTGTCGTCACAGCCCTAATTTATATGTATATGATTTTCTTTATTAAAACATTGAAAGAATCTATATTACAAAATAATACAAAGAGATAATCTAATTTAAAAATATCACTATATCTCTATATAAAATGACACACCCCTAATAGTTACTCTCTGAATACATACAGGTAAGCTAGTTTGCTCTATACAGAGTTGTTGTGGGTATGATTAAATAAATAGGGGACAAGGGTGTAAAAGTGCACTGTTTACAAGAACATGTATAGGAAGCAATGACGTTCCCACCGAAACCAGCTTTCCCATATTTGCATATAGGTAAAATTATAAATACCAACGTGACTTTCAACATAAGCAGCGAACACTTCTGTTATCAGAGTTGCATTTGCCTCTCTCTCTGTGTACACACAAAGAGCTTCCTCAAAATGGCTCATGGTGATGTGATATTGTGAGCAAATGTCACTGCACTAACTAGTTAAACCAGACTGACACTCAGCACAGCAAAACAAACACTGCTGCCAAAGCGGAACAGTGAACTAAAAACATTGACCGGGTATCACAAAATCATGTATTTTTTGCCATTGGGAGCCCAAGAAATCCTATTCTTTTAATCTCGTTTTATTTATGTACTTGTCTGGTATACATTTGGGACTTTGGCAAATGGAAAATAGAATAAATAAGATACATGGTCTGATATTGTATGAAATCGTGTATATCTGCAGCTTATGTGGGTACTAGTGCGTGTGCCAGAAGGCTCAAGGCTAGAGACGAGTTGACAGACTGCTGGCGATTGACCCCAGGGGCAAGGGTGCTCTTAGCAAGGCGCCCAGTGACAAGGAGAAAAGGGTACGCACTGCCTGCTCTGCATTTTACCTTCATCTTGACACGTCGTCTCAAGACACTCATGAATAACCGTGGGCCGACCTGAAGACATTATGGTGTATATTTTTACCCCAGTCGCAAGCACGCAGAAATCCACAGTGCTCTGGCCAGACAGTAAATGGCACTTTTTGTGACGTATTTAACGCTGCTTCCAGACAGTTGAAGCTAACAGGAGGAGAGATCCGACCTGCAGTGTACCGCCACACGTCCACTGCGCTCAGTATCATTTACTCTACTCGAACTTGACTCTGTACTTTATATCCCGCTCCAGGCAATCCTCATCCTCATTTTGCTTCTGATCTGGTTGCACAGATGAGTAGCCAATCTATTTATTAATGCACTGCTTACTGCTGGCCACTTATACTCCTGCTCTATTCAACAGTTCTGTCCTCTTCCCCACTATCCATTACCTCTTATCTCATCATTTCTACACCATGGCCTCGTGTTAGTCATAAATCTTGAATTCATTGGGGTTTTTTTTAAGCGTAGCCAGGTAAGCGCTGTCTCTCTGCCCTTTATCTCCCCAGGGGCTCTAGAAGCTCTGTGGTTGTCTCTTTTGACCTCGTCTTTCAGACAAATAAATCTGTTCAAAACCAAGTGTGACAAAGTGTGCGTCTGTGTTCAGGGGAATCTGGCCTTATGAAAGATGTGTCCGCTCTTTGACATTTGTAAAGAGGCACAACAATGCCGCTGCGGTGAGCGGTGACCCCAAGCACATCCGTCCTTCACCGCTGTGTGAAAGATTAAAGCTGCGTCATGTAACTTGTGGATTATAATGTTGAAGAAATGTTGTACAAAGTATTTCTTCATTGGCTGTGGTTGTTTTTTTTTTCCCAGATATTGACATTGAGGTTACTTTTTTGGGCTCTTTGTATGTTGTTTTCACCATAGATCTTTTTATGTGTTTTTGTTTGTCCATGAAAAAATAAACACAATTGAAACAAAACAAAAATTAAGTGTGGACATTTTAGATTTGTTAAACTCATTTCACATGAGCTTAACAATCCTCTTTCTATAAATCGTCTTGGCTTCACATAAACGTCTCCATACTTTTTTAATACGTGTATTCATTTTAGTTGTCTATCTTGTGACCTTTTGTCTGTTTCACATCAAATTTCTGAAAAAAAAATCTATAGCGGCGAAAGAGTCAACAATCACAACAATCTGAAGTTTATTTTATAGTACTCTGAGGACTGTAACATGTTAATCGATTAATCTTTTTTATTATCCCTTACATAGACCTAAACATTGTGCAAAGAGTTTTTATGATTAGTTAAAAATACTTTGCAAACAAACAACCCAATTTGTAACAAATCGTCACTGTGAAGATGTTCTCTGAGGATTCACTTGCTTTAATTTGGTCTCAAGTGTATAAAAAGAAATCCTATCCAGAGTTTTTGGGATCCAAACAAGTAATCAATTAATCCAATGAAAAACTACGGTAATTGATTGTCAAAAAGTATCATTCATCACTTCCATGTTTTCTACAAGTGAGTTCATTTATTTAGTTCTATTTAGAATTTGATTTCAACCCACCCCTACACTGATTAATTCAAATTTATGAGAAAGTAATCTGAACGATTTGTAGTTGTATTGTCTGACTATCCCTTTGTGAGCACGACTTCATTACCCCACCATTCCTATTGCAGTAACTCTATCCTCAGCCAGACTCTCCTATTTCTTCACTACCTGTCTGTGCGTCTGCCTGAGTGTGGTCTGTTTTTAATTTGGAGATTTGCTTGTTTTTCAACCCCCTTAAGTCTGTCTCGTATCCTGTGTTTGCACAGGTTTTTTTCTGGAAGATTCCTCTCTTAACCCGCACTTGTTTGTTTTGCTGCCATTATCCTGAGTGACAGTTCTATAATGACAGCAGCTGTATCAATTACGCCGATTACCATTCCCATTATGCCAATGTGCTCCACGGACAAAACAAAGACGCCCACAAAATCTAACTAAGTAATAATATAACAAATGCTGAAGCCGTGGGTTACTTGTTAATACCTTTTCTTTCTGTCTCTGCAGTAAAGCCATCTCGACCCAGGTGCTATTCTGAAGGCCCAATGCAGGAAGGCAAAGACATCGTGATGAAATGTGTCTCCAAAGATGGGACCAACCCCATGCAGTACATCTGGGAAAAAACCAGCGGGAATAAACTGCTACCCTCAACAGCGACACTAGGTAAAACATTTTCACATCTACCGGTAGTTCATGGGTTGCATTCACTGTGTTGTGATAATTTGCTTACATAATGCTTTTTTAAACAATTTGTGTAATATTTTGTATCGTTTTATATGTACAGTGCTTGTAGGGGGTTAAAAGTTCAAAAGTATAGCTTGGTACCTGACCTAAATGAGCTTTAAAATGCTTTTAAAATCCATTCTAAAACTCACAGGGCATTGACTTTCATCTCTGACATGGTGCGGAGGTGAAAGAAAAACATTTGGGTGGTTTGTTTTGTCGTGATTGCAGAGATTGGACTAATGTTTGATGATAGAGGGCCAAGATGGGAGATTTTGGGGGGGGGGGGGGCTGTAGAGTAGGCAGCTTAAGAAGCGCCATATTAGGAGCCATCTGCACCAGGAGCAGAGAGCCATGTGTGAGCCACATGGATGGCACAGAGGGGACATGAAGCTGAGGCTCCAAACCTCTGTTAGTATTAGATAGCAATATGGCCTACGTGCAGGACTGTACAAGGACTCTACAAGGACTCCATGTCTCTTTGTGACACGTATGTCTTTCGATGTGTGATGTGACAATGACTATATAAACTGTGTACTGCCTTTATTCTGTCTGGGAGAAAGAAACAAAGTAAACCAGTGGAACTTGAGAGAAACTTAAATAAACTTCCAGAGTTTGGCACACCACGATCCGTCTCTGTCTGCTAAATCCTGACACCTCCACCAGGTCCAAGAGTCAGACCCCCACAGCCACAGCTGACCACAGCTCCCAGTGCAGAGGGCTCCTTGGGAGGAGTAAAAGGGCTATATCAAAATACATAATGATACTAAGTAATAAAGTTTGTCTAACAAATATATACAATATGCAAAATCTAAAAAGTTGGGTTCTTCACTGTCTGCACAGTTAGAAAAATAAATGACATTCTCTTAATCATCTGTGACAGCTTAGTATTTTGTGGTAGTTGTGGATTAGGTTCTTTGTCCTTAGATGGTAACGCTGCCCACTTCTCTTGGCAAATAGTTCAAATTCCTTTAAATACCTGGGCCGCCTTCCATGAACTGCACATTCCCCACAACCTCTCAATGATATCATTTGGAAATATATTTATATATATATTTATTTGACTAGTAATGGCTGCACAAACCACTAACAATGAACAGTAAAAAAAAAAAGCATTTATGAGAATCGATAATTTCCGCCTGAGTTTGTAAACTTTGGAGCACAGCTGTAGCGTGAACGCAGCCGTTTCAGACCTCGGCGACTAACAATGCCCTTGCTCTTTCTCACACATGCAGATACAGCTGGAGGAACCATCATTGTCAAAAACGCATCTGCCAGTGCATCTGGTTCGTATCGCTGCACGGCCAGCAACCGTGTCGGGAGTGACGAATGCGTCCTGCAACTTAATGTGACGCCTCGTAAGTATCCTGCTCCGCTTCTCGCTGACGGTGACTTTGCAAAGTCTTTAGCATTTTAGGACCCCCTTTAAGTGCCTAAGTTAAAGAAACTACAATATTACCGCATTTTTCGCCAAGTATAGATCATTATCATCTATTCATACACTGATTACTTGTTTCTTTATTACTATTGGGAAATATGTTTGTGTAAGCCCTGGGAAATATATTTTGAGATTCATACATCATTACATTCAGCAATACTCAACTTTACTGGAAACACACCCTCCCATGTTAAAACACGTCTTCAAAACGCACTGATGCATCCGTCTTGAACTACACTATCCTCCTTTTCTCCCCAAGCTCCCAACACGGCTGGCATCGTCGCTGGCTCCATCATCGCTGTGCTGCTGATCCTCCTCATTATTGCAATCATCCTGTTTTGCTTCTGCCGCTCTCGTCACAGAAAGAAGTACGAGAAGGAAATCTGCAACGAGATCAGGTACGAGCAGCCAACACTTCAAGAATATTACTTTTGATAGTTGTGTCGTTATGTGGGTGCTTTAAACCGCAACACTCACACTGAACTGTTTTGGCGTCATCAGCATTTTCCCATTCACCCCTCCTCAAATAAACAGCTGTGCTAATCAGTTTGAAAGCTTTGTTTGCTCTGTGGATTGTGTGCCATGTCTGGGCTGGGCTGGGCTGCTGGACCGCCCCTCCCCTCCCCTCCCCTCCCTCTCTGGTGGAGCAGCCTGTGGGCCTGCACTAACCCCCGGGCTTAGCATCATTCTGCTGATGACCAAATGTGTCTCAGACCACAGTGACTCTGCTAACAGTGTGAGACAAAGAGGATTAGACCACTGCTTCTGTCTCGTACACACGCACTCGCAACACAACACCGCAGCATGAAGCAGTGTTCTGCACCAGCTCTGCCCTGCGGCTCCGTCTGATCAAGCGGTTAACTGGATTATTACTGCTTATTAGTGGTTAATGTGCTGGCAGAGGGGGCTGAGGGCATGGCTGTGTTTGGTACATTGTTGCTGTGACTGGTCCCATTCTGCACCCACAGCCAAAATAATTTCATATATTTTTAAGAACTCTTTTTGAGCTTTTAAATAAGCTTCAATAATGATTTCAGAGTTGCTTTTAGATCCATACACACTAACGTCTAAAAGCTCCTGTCTCAATCTTGTAATGGTATGATGTCAATGTACCGCTATGACATCATGCTGAGAATTGATTGAATTGAATGATTTTGAGTATTTCTGAGGTGAAATTATATGCTTTACAATTGCATGGCTATGATTGCTGTTGGTAATTTTTAAATATGAGGGGAAAAAATCAACTTCTCCCAGTGGTAGCATAGGGAGTTACAGATGGGAAGCATTGTTTTATCAATATTTCACATTATAAAACATGAAATGGAAAGAACAAGAAATGTTGAATGTTGATAATGTCTCATTTGTCATTTTGAATGGCCAGCATTATCCATAGTCAAAGTCAAATGATCTTAAGTGCCCAGAATCATACATAAAATGTATCAAACAGTATGTAGTCAGTAAGTAGTTGTAGTAGTAGATGCAGTAAGCGATTTTGTTAACTTAGCCTTGGCACCAACTCGAAACCACTCCCCCCTCCCCTCGCCTCGCCACCAAACATCCAGCATTTTCTTTTCTTTGTCACAACAGGGAGAGTGGATGGCAAACGTGAAATTGGCATTTTCTGTTCAGCCTTTTTAGGTTTTAGAAAATCTGATAACTCAGGTGAGCGCACTCCGAGAAACAGGAAGAGGGTGGAAGGGGTGAACGCATCCCATTGGTTTATTTTTATCGGTCTGCTTCAAAATATTTTTTATACATTTTTGGAGACTATAGGCATCTGGTAATTCCATTACTATTTCAAAACACATGATAACCTCCCTAAACCCTATAGTCACGTTTTCTCACAATATTAAAAAAAAAATGCATCTGGAAAAAAACCACTGACTGCATCTTTAAGCCAAACCTTTCCAGAATCTAATCCATTTGTCTGTGTTTGTTATCAGAGAGGATGTGCCGCCCCCCAAGAGTCGTGTGTCCACCGCTCGAAGCTTCACGGTGGGCAGCCAGCGCTCCTCCCTGGGCTCCATGTCGCCCTCTAACCTGCACGAATACGTCAAACCTCAGTACGACAAGATCCCTTCCTCAGAGGAGTTCGAGAGGCCCCCGAGTCACGCACCTCTGCCCCCTCCCACTGCTCCCAGGATGGCTGGGCCCAACCTCAGCCGCATGGGGGGTATCGCGGTAATGATCCCGGCCCAGAACAGGGACGGATCCATCGTCTAGCACAGCCTTTCTCAGACTATGCAGCGAACAGTGGATGTAAGGGTGAGACACGGCCAATGAAGACGTACAAACTGGATGTGGGTTACAAAGTGGGAGATCAATCCTCGTATGAAGACCAGGCTCGACAAAGCCCATGAACTTTTTTAAAAATCTCGTATAGTAATTACTTTGAAGGCTTAATTGACTTAAAAGTAGATTTGGATAGTAAATATATACACATGATATTGTACATAGATGAATGCATGTTGTTTTTAATGGATCTTGCTGTAAAGTTGCAGTGTCTGATATCTGACGGGCCCATGCATTGGCCAAATGTACAGCTGTGTGACTGTGTGTGTGTGTATATAGTGTGTGTGTGTCTGTGCGTCTATGTGTGAGCGCGAGAATGCCCGTGCACCTATTTGTCCGAAACTTCCCTTCAGACTCCTCACTGGACTTGCGTGGACAACCGCTGATCTTACAGTTTGAATAATTCAGCCCGGACTTTGAGCGATGCCATTGGCTGCTGAGGAAGGGGGGGCGGGAGGGAGGTTCACGCTGCCTTTTTCGTTACTGGGGCGGATTATTACTTGTCACCAGAGCGAGCCCAGTGCAGTTTCCACCCCCTTCCAGCCTCTGTTTAAGCTGAAAATAACGAGGCCAGCTGGAGGACACAGGAGTTCATTGAGCAATCGCCGCTGATTGAGTTTGACTGTCCACTGACCACAATCCATAATTGACCACCAGAAAGTTACAAGCAAGAAACTCAGTAATTCGATCTGAAAATGTACTCCTTGTGACCAAAATCTTATTGAAAAGACTAATGAATTAAACATGCTTTTTATGATTTGTAAGTGCCATTTAGGTTTGCCGACATGTTTTCATACTTTCAGGAGTTCTGTCCCTCGCAGAAAGCAAAGCACTGATTAGCCAATGACACCTTGCCTTAGGACCCTCGTTGAGCCTTACCTTCAACAACCTTGCCGTTTCCTGTTGGTGCACCCTCTTAGCTGGACTTTTCTTGTGCCTTTTTGCCCTGGTTCGGTTCTGTTCCAAATCGTTCATTTCTAGTTGTTTTTTTTTTTTTTTTTTTACAGCCAACTGAAATCAACTTCACCCAACCCAGACCAAACGAAACCACTCTTTCTCCAGTTATGTTGTTTTGTTGTTTCCTTATACAGGTTTTATTTACTGGAATGTTTGTGTCCATAATTGTAATTAAGGTTTTTGTTTTTGTTTTGTTTTTTTACATTAATTCTCAATGCAGCTAAATGAAATAAACTTACTTATTACTGTGTGTTCTGCAAAAGCAAGAAGACTTTGGGCATCAGGCCTTAGTCATGTCCCGTAACTGGGTTTTAACAAATACATTTAAATACATTAGCTCTGAGTATCCATGGAACAACGTGGAGCAGATGGTTGGCTGTTATTCTTAGGTTGTTTTTTTCCTGTTCATGAAGAAGAGAGGTCTCGTTCAGCATCGAAACACCGATAACAAATATTACTAACAACATAACTGTAGCTGTTGAATCTGTGTGCTTTTATTGTAAGACAAATATCCTTCAGGTTTCCAAACTCTTTTTTTCTTTGTGTATTTTTGTGCTGTATTTTTAAATAAAATATCAGACATTTTACAAACGTCATTTTCATTGCCGGATAATCCATGCATGTTTTGTGGTCTTTAGCGGGGGGGGCTCGCTCCTTGGAGACCTTTGCCCCCTGCGGCTCTGGAGTGTAATTAATTGTAATCAGCGGTGTACTGTAGCCCTTACACCAGGTGAGGTGACTTTCTAACAGCTTAATGAGTGCAATGAATCAATGCAGTCGCCGCCTGCCAGCACCAATGCTCTTCATTCAGCCCAGCACAACCATGCAGTGCTTTACCTGCTCATTGAGACGCCCGCTCTGCATGGCCTGCTTCAGCCACTCTCACCCCCGTGTGCTTGGTTCAGTGTAGCATCGTTAACTTTCAATTTGCCAAGCGTTTTCAATTGTGTTTATCAGCTTTTTATCAAATACCCTATATTCTAAAAGCTCTTCAATTTGATGCATTTGTGCTTGTTTGTGCAAGTTATGTGCCTTGATTGTGGCATTGAATACTTTACCCTTTAACATTCACTCCTTGAAGAAAGTAATGTCATTTTTCTAAGATGTAGGACACTTATAACACAAATTGAGTTTTTTTCAACCCCTTTTTTCGTTATTCTAGAGTAGACATTTATAAAATGGTTTATATGCAGTTTGATTATAAATGGGCCTAAAACCAAGTGAGACGTAGATTTCAGTGCCAAGTGTGTTTTATGTAGCTATAGTGACTCAAAAGGTACCATTAAAGGGTTAAAGCTGAAGTAACCAACTTTCAAGTCACACGAGATTCAACATTGATATAATCTCATCGTTGCTTATGCCAAAACCAGTTTGGTTTATTGCATGATGTACTGTATGTACAGTATTTTTGACCTCACATTTTTAGATCAGCTTCACACAGAAAAGTGAAAAAGAGAGAACCACCCAATCAAAGTATTGAATAGTGACTGTTTTTAAATCCAATACAAAGAAGTCAGAATGTAGTGGTCTGATTTTCTTCACAACTTTTTACTTTTACAATTTTTTTTCTTTTGGGGCAAAAACGACTTATGAGAAAGAGTAATGTTAGGTACCTCAGCTTTAAGTTTCGATTCTAACATTGTATTTACCTAACCACTGGACTGAACAACCTGCGTGACATGGATGGATCGATATCCGATTATTAGCCAATAGCTCCAGTGTGTGGCAGATGGTCGATAAAGAGACTAAAGCACTTAGTTGTGGTGTTAAATGGACGTCCATAGCTATAATTGGATGTCAGTAATAGATAGGGCCCCAGAGCATTGATCTGTGGCAAGTCCGAGCCATTCACAGCCTCTAATGGCATCCCACCAGCTATGCACATTGGGAGTTCTGTTATGGACGCCGTTTGTGCAGCTGCAATGATACAAATGCCCCACAAATGGATATGGAGAGATATAATGGTCTTTTTATGGTGCTGTGTTCAGAACATTCATTAAAACAATTGTACAGCTGCTTGTGTTACATTCATGCATTAAATGTGAAATGTCCCTTCACTGAATCAATACACAAGGATTCATCCATGGCCCTGTGTGTCCTGACATCTCTGCTCCTGTCCTCATTCCCTTGGATGATGTTTTGTTAAGCACTGGGGATTTGCCTCCCACAGCCGCCTCTCTCCTTTTGCCCGGTGAAGGTATTAATTGTTTGCACAGATCAAGCAGGTTCGTATGGCAGACCATGCTCATTGGCTCTCCAAGAGGTTTCCTTGGCAACCTTATCTAGTGGTACACAGTCTAAGCCGGGTGCTCGCTGGATGATTTATCTTGTAAGGCGTGATTCGCTCGCTGCTAACAAAAGGGGCCTCTAACAGCATTGGCCTCATCAAAGTCGCTCCCCTCCAGAGTGACGTCTGCTGTCACAGACTTGGGCTTTTGCCGTTTTTAGAGAGCTCAGGTTGAGAGCTAGGATTGTGGGGAATTCTGAGGAGAATCGTGCCATATGCATATGCATGAAGAGTGAGCTCCATCAGCTCCAGTGGCACAAGAGTGCATTAACATTTTGGCTGCAAGCTCTTAGCACTTGAATGTAACTTAACAGATGATGTTGTGAATGTAAGCTTTTATAGCTGTGGGAGAGGGACCTCAAAGCCATTTCTGGACATAGTCCCTGTTGGCTTTCAATTTCATCTACGTCAGGTTGTAAAAACTGGAGCACAATCAAGCCTGCAGTTCATTCATCAAAGCACCAGTTCATCGCAGACAAGCCACAAATGAAAGTTGACAGACTGAACTTTAAATGCACGCTCATTGCGGCATGTCAGATCAAAAGGATTGTGAAAAGATGACATTGATGTGTTACCATGCAGGAACACTGGTGGCACTCAACTGTGGAGTGCTTGTGTAAAGCTTGTCCAGACCTCCAGTGAGTACTTGTCTGCACATCCAGCTGCTCTGGTCCCATTCACCAGTCTCTCCTGCTGCACAGAGAGGACCCTGCTGTGCTCTGTGCGCTCAATATGGGCTCATCCGTCAGTCTGCCTGACCTGAGCTGGTCGGATCTCTGCATTGACTGGTCACTTTTTCTGCAACATGCTGTTCACATTTCAATGACTAATACGTGACTTTTGACGGGTGACCTTCACCGTGTGCTCCAGGGAAAGCACATATCACGGAGCAGACATGCTGAGATTATGCTCAGTCCGAGAACAGTGAGTTATTTTAAGACCTGCTCTCTCTGGGGGACTTCGTCTGCTGGGCTTTATGGATCAGTGAGGTGACGCTCATCAGCCCATGTGACATTTCATTCACTATGAGGCACAAGTGTGTGGCACAAGCAAAGCAGCGCTTTGCTCCTTACCACCAGAGACAGCTAGAGGGGAAATTAACTTCATTAGAGTGGCACCTCAACCCGCTTCCATCTGGCTGAAGGAGAAAGGAAAGGCACGGCAGTCTGAGGCCCATGTGTTGAGAGGAGCACACCTGCTTAATGTCCCACACAGTGGAGTCTTTTCATCCTTTGTTATGAGTTTTCGCGGGTGAATCACGCTGTGTGATGGGAAATAAAGACGTCCCAGAGTTTCAATTCCGCACTCCAGCATGGAGGTAACAGTGTGATTCGCCTCAGTCGTTTACACTGTGATTTGTACATCTAATCTGCAGCCGTCCTGGTCTCCATTACAGGTGATGAACCTCCACAGGCTGCAGCAGTAAACTGGAGCCTCGGCCAGAGGACACTTTCCTTCCTCTGATGAGTGGAGTCATGCTCTCACCACCTGCCTGGGGCCGAGGCTTCCTGTGTGGGGAGCATGTCTTTACACCACTGATAAGGTCACTCTGGTCGGGGGTTGCCCCTCTGCCCCTCTGCTCTGACGGAGCCTCTGCAGCCACACCTCAAAGCAATTAGAGCATGTGTAGTCTTCATGCAGGACACGTACAGCGGAGCACCTTCACTCTGGAGCCTGTGTTCCATGC